CTGCACTTCCCTTTTACCAATAAAATACAGATTTGTTTTATTCTCTAACCCTTCCTACTTGCAGATCAAATGTTAGTACTGAAGACTTCTTTCTACTGCTTACTTTTCAACTTACTGTTTTCAAAGTATCTGAAGAGTCCTTGATACAGTGGCCTATGCCGTTAATCCGGCGCTGGGGAGGCAGGGCAGGGCAAGCAGGGCAGGCATGGGGAGGCATGGGGAGGCAGGACAGGCAGGGCAGGTGTGGGGGGGCAGAACAAGCAGGGCAGGCAGAAGGGGCAGGGCAAGCAGGGCAGGCAGGGGGAAGCAGGGGGAGGCAGGGCCTGGGAGGGGGAGGCAGGGCAGTCAGGGCAGGCAGGAGGAGGCAAAACTCGGTAAGATGGAGGTCAGCCTGGTCTACATAGTGAGTTCCAGGTCAGCTGGGGCTACAGAAAGATCCTGGTTCAAAAAAAAAGTATCTAATGAACGTTGTACAATGATTTTTATATTATTACAAAACAGGTTGAGTATCCCTTAACTGAAATACTTGTGATTTTCTGGATTTGGAAAAAGTTTCCTCAGGTTTTGGAATATTTCCATGTATATAATGAGAAATCCTTGATAGAGGGCCAAAGCTTAAGCACAAAATCCGTTTGTGTTTCATATACAAGCCATATACTCAGCCTGAAAGTATTGCAAAATATTTTTATTACTTTTATTTTATGTGTGTTAGTGTATTGCCTGCATCTGTGTAAGTACACCTGTGTAGTGCCATGCCTATGGAGGTCAAAAGGCATAGGATCCCCTGGAACTGGATTTACAGATGGTTGTTAGCCACCATGTGGGTGCTGGGAATCTAACCCAGACTCTCTGTAAGTGCAGTCTGTGCTTTTAACCACTAAACCATCTCTCCAGCCCCCTGAAAGTATTTTTATACAATGCTTTCATTCATTCGTATTTTGAAGCCATCTCTCCAGCCACCTGAAATTATTTTTATAGAATACTTTTATTCGTATTTTGAGCAGAGCCTATCACATGAAGTCAGGTGTGGAATGCTCCATTTACAGTATCATGGTGGCTGCTGTGTATTCTAAATTAAAACACGTCCTTCTAGAGGGGTGAAGGAAGTTGTTAAGACTCAGGACGCTAATGAAACTCACCAGGTTCAGGAAGCTCTCTGAACTTAGAAGACTCGTGGACCCACACTCTACGGTTATGTAAGCAGTGAATAACTGCTGGGAGAAAGTAGACTGCGGGCTACCTCCAAACTGGATGGGGAGCTCCAGGGATGCTTCTTCTGAGACTTTTTGTATGGTCGGCTGAGAGGGAATGTTAGTGATGCAGCTGCTTTGAGTCACCCGGACTACTGTAAGGAACCCCAGTAACCCCATTGATTCACCAAGGTACACTTGGGTGGAATCGTTTCTTTGGTTTGTTATTGGTATCTGGGATGAGCATGTGTTTGTTCACAGCTGTCCAAGGAACGTGCAACAGTGGCACTCAAAGGAAGGGAGAAAAGGCCCATGAAGCCCCGCGGTAGGGGCAGTTAATATTGTTGGGGGAAGTGGGGCATTTTCTTCAACAATGTAGCCATGGATAAATTGCTCATGCTCCAGTAAATAACTGCCCACTCAACTTTCAGTAATTAACAGTAATTAAACTCAGTGGGTCACACCAAAAAGCAAACATTAAAGTAGGAGGGGGACTTATTGGAAGAAGGGCTTCAGCTAAGAGAGGAACCCGATGCAAGTGACCAAAATTCATTATATAAATAGATGAAATCGCCAATCAACATTTTAAAAAAATCTTAGTACCATTCCCAATATAGGTACTATGTCATTATTTAAAGGGAGACGTGGGTAATAAATGCATATTTTTCCATTAAATACAGTTTTGAAATTTGAAGCACTTCAGATTTCAAATATTTAAAATTCAAAAATTCATTTATATGTTGGGAGCCTGGAAGCCTGAGGTTCAACTGAGTCTCAGCTACCTCTCAATACTGCTGACAGGCCTGAGCTGGCAGCTTTCCATTCTGCCCGCAGCCTTGGCCTGGAAACTCTGGTAGGCAGCCGCTGGCTTGCAGCTGGGGCTCACAGCCTTGGCCCAAAACCTTGGTTTGAAGCTGGGGCCAGATAGCCTTGCTAGATAGCCTTGGCCCACGGCCTTGCTCTCCTTTCTTGCATACGGTTCTCTTCTTCTATAATCAGAGATTCCTCCCTTAATGTGCATCAGAGTGCTTGTGCTCTGACTGATGTAATGGTTTACAGTTTGTGTTCCTTTGTTCTTATTCTCTATAAAAACTCTTGCTTGTGCTTCAATAAACAAGACTTGATCAGAATCCTGTCTTCTCTCCATTTCTCTAGTCCTTGCCTCATTTTCATCCCCACCCCCCAATCCAGGTACCCCGTTGCAGACCCTGTGGGCCGGGGCATTTATAGAGTTAGCCAAATTGTTTATTCTAATTGTTTTTCTCCCATATCTATATCATCACCTAAATTCATGAACTTATGAATTTTATGTGTTTGATGTTTTAATTTATGTAAGTCAAGTCTCCTAAGAATCATTGGGGAACCGAGCCTATAAAGTCTGTCTCAAAGGAAATGTGAGTGGAATGAGGCAACATGCACACAGAAGCATCATGCCATGACCAGCCAGTCTGTAAGTGAGCCAAGGGGAGCAAGTGGAAGAGCTGCTGGGGGAAATTAAACATAACCTGGGAATCTAGGGGTGGATCATCAGGCATAGAATTTGAGTAAGGAACATTAGACTTCCTGTGATGCTCAGGGCCTGCAGTTGAGGATAGAGGTTGGGAAATCAACCAACAGGCATTGATAGTTCGGGGACAGAGATATCAGTTTACGTTGCTTATTAAATTCCAAAATATAAGATTTTAGGTATCCAAAATTTAAAGTTCTATTGTAAGCATAATTATGTATGCATATTTATAAAATATTGTATAAGTATAATTACAAAAGTTTATGGATGAATAATAAGTGATCATTCATTGAACTATGAAGGTCTTAGAGATAGCTACCTAGGTGTTTAAACTGTAGGTAAATACATTAGAGCTACTCATATAGTCAGATAAACTGAAAGTTTTTAGCTATCACACTATTGTGATACATGTGTTTATGTCCTTGGAATGAAATAAATCTTCCAATAGGATAACATTACTAATGCACTCTGATAGTGTAGGCTTTGTGAAGCTTATAAAAATTTCTCAGAGTAAAATAAGCTATATATTAAATAGTTTATTATGTTTCCATCAGAGTCGTAAATATAGATACCGTGAAAGAACTCAAATGGTCTCATAGTGAAAGCAGTTTCTTCCTTTTGTAAAAGTTCTTTTGCAATGCACAGACAAAATAAAATGAAAATAAAATTACCTACTGTGTTTATCTTTACTACACTTTTCTTTCTGTGTTCATGATATTTCAGTGTGTTTGAAAATTTAACTCTAAAAATTTGTCGTGTCTTGATACTAAATAATGAATATAATACAAAATACTTTCTTGAAGTTATTGAAATAAAAAAAAATTGTTGAAAGCTTTTGCTTGTGAACCAAAGAACACAATGGTGAGCAGTTCGGATGTGCTGAGTGGAGCTGTTTACCACAAAACTTCCATCAGCTTGTCAGCTTTAGTTTTGCCCTCCCACCTGTAGCCGTACAAGCCAGTGATATCTGAACCTGACTTGTTCCCTAAAGCTTCCCTTTGGGGGCCTCTCCTGACTTATTTTTCTTTTTTTTTCTTTAGCATTCAACTATGCACACAAAGTTTAATCACAGGCTAAATAGATGTGTAAGTAATTCTTCAAGACTGGTACATAATTGAATTAGGATAGTACTTGGACATATCAAAATGAACTGAAAATGAGTAGAGATGGACATACCAATTTATATGCATTTAAAGATCTGTGCCCCCATCTATTATTAGCAAACGTCCTATTCTCACACTCACCTCCCACTCCAAAGTACATACTTAAGCTAAATGGAATCTGAGTGGATCCAGCCATATGTAAATTGCCCTGAGAATCAGGCTGTCCAGTCATAAAGTGCAGTTTCTTGAGTTTTAATGTACGCACATGAACCAAGTGAGGATCTTGCAGAACTGGTGTGAGCACAAGGATTCTGAATTTCTAATAAGATTCTGGGTGATGCTTGCGTTCTGGCCCACAGAAAAAGTTTTAATTAGAAAAGCTTTAAATTGGAGTGCAATGTTTTCCCGAATTGTAAATTGGGACATTCCATATACTAATGTAGATTCTTCATGTCAGCTGGAGATGTGACAGTTTGCTGTACGTAGTCCAGGTAACAGTCTGAAAGCTGCACTGATTGTGATCTTTAATAACTTTCACAAAACCTACAATATGCATTACTTGGCTAAGACTAAAAAGAATCCTGAATGTGCCTAATCTAGACTGATAAATGTTATCTGTATTTGTAAATAAGTTATTATCGCTGCTGAAAATTATTAGTAGTTTAATTTTAATTTATAATGTATGAACTTCTGATTTTTATTAGCATTTGTAAATCATTAATCAAATTTATGGTGGTGTGTCTAAAATGTGACCGTGCCATGTAATGTTTCATTCCAAATTCATTAAGCACTTTTGATCTAATTGTCTGAAAGTGGCTCAGGGCAATTTTATTTATTGTTTTATTTTTCCACAGACAGTCACATATATTTTGTTATTTTAAAACACACAGAGCAAAAGGAAAATATGAATTCCTTTTGTTTTTCACAAAAGAAAATATTAGTTGGTGGCCAAATACCTGGTTTTAAAGTCTAATAATGAAAATACATGCTACCTGGTTTATAGTTAGTTAAAATACATTTTAATAAATATAGAAGCATTAGTATACTGCCATTTCTCCTAAATTGTGTTTCATAAGCAATATGTTGTCATCAATTTTCTTACTAATTTTTAAATGAAACTCTCATAGATTATTTTGTATATCAAGCACTCATGTTTTATAAGGTTTGATCTCAGAAATCACATCAATATATTATGCTGACCTTCAATGCTGTGGCTGTGACCACTCTTGGGTGACATTTTGTCCCAGGATGTCTCTTCGCCTTTCTGGTTTGAATCTTTCACAGAATCATCTGACTGGCTCCCAGGGTGGCTCTTAAATGTTGGTGAACACAAACTTTGCTCAGTTTCCACTTCCTGTTAGAAGACATTAAGGGGATATATTTTAACAGCCTATCAGTGGGAAACAGATGTGGTTTTCAGGGGTTTAGAAGGCAGGAGTGAGAGAGGGAGGGGTTTTCTACCATGAATGATGTTTTCCAATATGCTTTGGGGAAATTTTTGATAACTTTGCCAAGAATTGCAAACACACATCTGATGCTTAGCTTATGTCTCTGCCACTGCTTCCACTTCTGAATTAGCTTTTCTTTTATGTATGTGTTCTACACCCCTCATAAAATAGAAATAAGGGTCACAATACAGAGTAATATGTGTTAATAGATGCTACTTCCTGGGCTTGAGAAATGTCAATGAGAGACTTTCAGAAAATAGCAATATATCAAAATTATATGTTAAAGACAGAAGGAAATGAGTTTTTTTAATGTATGCTCATCCTATAATGATAATCTTAGCAATTACAGCAGTCACAAATTATAAACACATTCAGCTACCATATAGTGAGTGTGGTTTGTCAGTTCAGAAAGATTATGAAATTGCTTCTTTCACATAGTAATCAAACATGCAGAGATAAAATGTTCCTAAAGAAACAGATAAAAATATTTAAAATGTAGTCTAGCATTCCATATTTTGTAGATCAAATAATATAATCAAACCAACCATGCCAATCATACTGCATCATTTAAAATGAAAAGTTATAGGAAGTAGGAAAGGAACAAAATAGTTTAATAAACCAAAATTATGTACTTTTAAATTAGGTAATATAACAGGCTGAAAATATTTTAATAATGAGTCATAAGTTGTAGATTTTTGTACTGAAGGATATATTTCTGAACAGTAGGCAGTTAAACAATGCTATAAATGTTTTTGCTTTTAAAAATCATTGGCCTCAAAGGGCCAAGAAACAGTTAAAAACTTAAACACATTTCATAGGTAAATAAATTTTCAGTTTTACTTTTCCTCTTACTATTTCCCACCAATTTTATTATATATATATATATATATATATATATATATGTAATATATACAATATACATTCTATATATGTGTTTGCATATGTATTCACTATAGAAACTGGGCTTAATCATTTCATTCTTAAATACATCTCAAATACGTGATATTAAGCTTTATCACTGCAATCTTTAACTGGAATAAGTGATTCACAGGAGAAAGTAGGAAAAGAAGTTTGCAGTTTTCAAAGAACTGCTTTCAGTATTTGTGTCCCATATATTATAAAATATCCACATGTTGCTACTATGTTTTGATGCATTATGCTGAAACTGATTGGAAGCTGAGCATGATCCATGGACTAAAACTGGTGACTTTAAAGAATAACATGAGTTTCATGCTGAAGCACATACGTGTGATTTGGTAAAATTGTGTAAACAAATATTTCAGCAATTGATTAAAGTGACTCATACAATATTGGTATTCTAAATGTAGACACCACACAAATCTAGTGTTTCAAATACTGAGGTGGTAAGAGATGCCATAGACAATTCACATATGAGTATAGGAAACTTGTTTCCAAGTCTTAACCACCATACCCCAGTCATTCTAAAGTATATTCTTCAGGGCCATGGTAAAGGAAATGTCTTAGTTGAGGTTTTATTGAGCTGTCTTTTATCAAGGCAGTATTCTGGTTTAGTCCCTTTCTTTCTGCTTTATGGACTGAACTCTACACATGAGTTACTTTGAGAAAGATCCACAGGCTTAAATAAATGCACAGATGCCTGTTAAGAAAGAATAAAGGGAACACTTGACAAGGAGGAGCTTAGAATCAACCTTGCTTTGGGCTGCTACATATCTGTATGTCTTCTAGCAAATCACTTGGCCTTTCTGGGACTAAGTACTGAATTTCAAGTTCACCAACCTACCATCTGCAATGTAATTTCATGTGAAGTTAAAAAAAATGGAACAGATACTAATTTTTTAGTTTCAATACTGGCAAGAATGAAACTATAATAAATTACATAAAACTTTCAAAAGTCACATAAACTGACACAGAAGAATCATCCTTGCGATGAAGTCATGCAAAGGTTCTCTTTTAAAATGATCTAAGGCTGACCTTTGATGAGTAAGTGAGATTTTACTGGGTGAAGAATTTTCAGATGGAGAAAACATGTATGAATGTCATGAGATGGGAGGATGCCCAGTGCACAGAGCTGTTGTTGACAGAACCTGAGAGAAAAAAACATGCCACTGGACGACCCACAGAAGCAGAGAGGGACTGGGTCACAAAGAGCCTGAGGAGGGCATTTTGGATATTCTCATCTTAGCGAAGTGGAAACTAAGTGAAGTTTGTTGAGTGCTCTGTGTGTGTGTGTGTGTGTGTGTGTGTGTGTGTGTGTGTGGTATGCACATGACAGATTCAGATGCATGGGGTAGAAAGCACAGTCTACCTCTACAGCAGAGTTTCCTCATCCTTGGCACTGTTGGCATTTGTGATCCAATAGTTCTTTGTTTGTGGGACCTATTCTGTGTGCTTAGGATGTTAGGCAGTGTTCCTAGTTTTACTCACTTGATGCCAGAAGGACCTGTCCCTGACTACTCAGTCATAGCAAGTTAAGTGTGTTTATATATGGCCAAAGTTCCCATGAGGAGTTATTTGGAAGGAAGCTATCACTGCATAATAGGCTAGATTAAAATTTTTCAAAACATACATAGAAGATAAGTTAGGCAAAGCACCCACTGGGGATTGGTTCCAGGACTTCCAGAGGAAAGTAAATTCTGCAGATGCCCAAGTACTTCATATGGAATGATTTAATATTTGAGTGCAATCTATACTCATCTTCCTCTATGCTTTAAGTCACCTCTAGCCTACTTATAATTCCTACTATAATGGAAATGATATATAAATAATATTGTAGTTTTATTATTATTATTGTTATTTTTGTTTTTCTAAGTGTGTTTTAAGGGTTGGGTGGTTCATTGAATCCTCAGATGTTGACCCTAAGTCTATAGATGGATCATTGTACTCTAGGAAAATCATGGCAATCTTAGATCAAGTTGATGGAGGACATAAATCAATTAATTTGAAGGTTATTTGGGTTAAAAAGTGACAAAACCAGGTAACTGAACTTTGGGATGGTGGTGATGATGAGGGAGAATTTCATTCTTTCTGGTATATACAGCAAAGTGAAATGGGATACCACTAAATTTTGTCAAAATACCACAGGAAAGCTGGTTTGTGAGGGAAATTAGATCATGAATTGGATACCAAGATGTTCAAAAGATAGTTGAACATGTAGCCCTAAGAGCTTAAACTGAACACATACTTCACAAATTGACTTTTAGTGGAAACTGAAGCAATGAATTTGGGTGAACTTGCTCAGGGATAGCATACAGACCATGCTGAAAAGTGAATCCAGAACCACGCTTGAAATATGCTGATGTCAAATGTTATGGCAGAAGGGAAATGCTGTATAAGGCGGTACATCAGAAGGGAAGGATTTCTTTAATGATAGTGACTCTTATTCCAAGGACAAAAATCTGAGGCCTTCAAAAAAACTCTGAGATGAGCAACATGGCTACAAAGGGGAGAGATGTAGCACTAACTTGAGAGACAGATACTCCGTTTAATTTCAGTTTTCTTTTAAATTGAGAGATTTTCATATATTGGAAGTAAGTTTGAAGAATGGAGATGGAGACATTTGACCATAAGAAAGCAAGAAAGAACATCCAACTATGCAAAAGCCCTAAAAGGGGTAAGAAATGAACCTCTCAAATCATGAGTAGAAACATATACCACAGAGGGAAATATAAGTGGAGAGGGAAAAAAATCATCACAGACTTGGATTCTTTGCACTCGTGGAAAATTAGCTCTATTGCAGTGTGAAGTCAGCTGTTTCCTCTGTTATTCTGATGAAATTAGAAGTTCTTGAAAAGACTGAAGAAAGTTTAGTTTTGTCTTTGTAAACAGCAGAATTAGAGAGATGAACACACAGAGATGAGCATGACTGTGCAACCTTGGAGGCCCATGTGATGTTGAGAATATTAAATATATGACGAGTCTGTTGAGTGAAGTAGCATAAACATTATCCATAGTAGTAATTCAGGTAATGAGAAGTGGGTAACTCAATTCATCCAGGACAAGGTTTTATACCGATTAAAAAACAAACAAACAACCCCCCCACACAAAAAACAAAGAAAATAATACATATCACAGGTGGCTATGGTGAAGTAGTGTTCAAGTACAGAGAACTTTACTTAGGTTAGCATCAATAGAATGAAGAGCTATTGCAAAAATATATCATGAAATGCATATGGAATTCAAAGAGAGGAAAAAGAAAGGTGGGTTAGAAAACAGAAAAAGGATGAATAAACCAGAGCTCAAGGCGGGTTTAAACTAGCCTTGTAGTTTGACTACTTGGCTAAGCAATATGGAAATAAAGATGACCAGAATGCTTGCCTATGCTTTAGTGCTCATGGAGTAGATCAGTGTACTATTAGCATCAGATGTCAATGTGTGAATGAAAGCTAAGGTTGACTGGAGGAGAAAGCCATTAACAAGGAAATCTGGGACTCAGGGACTGTGATGCTGTCCCAGGATAATAAATGAGTTTAGAAGGCAGAAAAAGGCTGTGTCAACATACCTGGTAAAAGAGACAAAATAAAAAATGATCACAGTGATGATTAGTAAGTAGAGGGCTGGTAATAGCAGGTACCTGACTAGAATGAGCCTCAAATGTACAGAATTTTAAATCAGAGAATGGTGGAGAATGGTCAAGGGAAAAAAATTGCCTCCAGGTATATGAGGAAGATTCTAAGATGATAGCATCTTAGGGAAATGCCCTGTTTTTGTTAGGATGAGAAGACAGAGGAAACACTTGCAGATAAGGTGGAGGACACAGAAGAAGCTGCTGTCCATGGAAAGTGCTTCCCGGGGAACTGGTGGAAACTCACTTTTCTAATATGTA